TTAACCACTACACCAACCTGGCTCTCTGTAAACAAATAATGTGGATAATATTATCATCTGTAGCATTTCTATCCTTTTTATCACTTCTTCTACACAGCCTATATTTTAAAGACAACTTATTCCATCTGTGTATTTTGATTGAACTACTAGCATAACTGATGCACAGAAGCAAATCTATTGCTTTGTTCTTTATGGTTCATTGAATTAATCTCTTTGACCATTCTTGCCTTCTGTGTTCACAGTAAAATACAAAAAGCATACAAAATGTGGAACATTTCTGTGGGACATATTCAGTGATTCCATAAAAAAAAATGCATCCTCAAACCTTGTTAACCTGTAATAGAACTCATGCTTTTACATATCCACCCATGAAATGGCTTGACAGTTTCACTGTCAAAATAGACATCATAGAGAATAGAATACTAAGAGTGAAAAAGATATGAAGATTAGCTAAATCTATCCTCTAGCTTCAAGGAAGGGTCATCTACAAATTAACCCTGATTATCACCATACAGATCAATATATAACTTCACTGCAGGATAGAACAGAAGCAAAAAGATTTTAAAAAGCACTACCACATAATCATTTCTTGGCTATATAAATAATTGGTCCAGATTTTTTTTCCTGAATGAACATAGGAAAAAGCCAGTTTCCAATCAGAGATAAACATATAGTAATAGCAATAGCACTTAGCCTTATATACCACTTCACAGTGCATTACAAACCTCTCTAAGCGGTTTACAGTTTTGCATATTGCCCTCAACAATCTGGATCCTGATATGGCCTATACATTATTGTAATTTCTTTAATAAACTGTACATAAAAGTGCCATGTATAGTATGCCAAAGAAATCATTAAAAAAACAGATGTACTGATTGATATACTGGGTCATATTGCATATTTTATATTATTTCCTAGATATATAACTCAAATAACAGGGCTAACCATAATGGTCCTGAATGGAGGGGTCTCTATCTAAGGCAATGGTATATATTAGAGCAGAGTTTTTCAACTATGGCTTCTTTAAGACAGGTGGACTCCCAGAATCCCAGCATGGGTCCACCTGTCTTAAAGTTTCTAAGCTTGAAAAATTCTATATTAGAGGGGAATTTTTTTTTTTAAAGCAGTATAGTCTGGGGACTCAATATAAGTTATCCTATGGAGTAATCCATCATTGCTGTGAGGAGTATACATTTCACACTGGTGATTACACACCACACATTCTTCAATTGTCCTGGCTTTATGATGATTTAGGAATGCCAATAAATTCAATGCAATTCTCATTTTCAACACTAAGGAGGATTATGACAAATATTATCCAAATTGATCTTGGTTCAGATTTTCTGCTTATAATATATCTTATTCCAAGATATCTGCCTCCAGATCTGATCTTTACGGAATAAATCCTACATAATATTTAACAGATGTCATACATACTGAAAAGCGACAATGTTCATTTCTATATATTTCCTTTTGATAGTGTTTTAGAACAAGATTCTGCAAGAGAGTAAACTAATGGCAGAAGACAAGGAGGAAGAGGAAAAGGAACTGTTCCTTTACACTTCCTTTATTTTATAGTTTTTCCTTACTATGTTCATTAATTATAGCCCTCCCTTATGGCTAATTATTAAAAGATTTATTGAAGCCACTTTTTTGCATGTTTTGAAAATTATTACAAGAAATCAGTATGTCTAGAAGTGAATGTCTGAGAATTGGTAAAATGAATTCTCCCTGTATAAATGTCAGCACAGAATAATTCAGTCATATCACACTGAAGTGTGTAATAAAGCTGATCTGTCGTCTGTTGCACAGCCAAGTGATAAAAGACTGCAATGCATCCATAAGAAATTTCTGAAATGGGCCCTCCAAATGATAAGTGACAAAAAGAGGATCAGTAAGTTATTTTGGATGCTTGTTAGCCTAGGCTGAACGAAGAAAAGGGATTGAGAAAAATTACAAACAATTTTCACTTTTTAGATCAGAATATTATCATTAAAGAAAGATTTGAGGGAAACATGCAAATTAATCTACATGGCTGCTTCTTTCTTTCTTTCTAAACACACACACACACACACACATACACATATATATATATATACACATATGTGTGTGTATGTATGTGCATGTGTGTATATATATGTATGTATGTATGTATGTATGTATGTATGTATGTATGTGTATATATGTATATAATGTTTTGTCTACTTGGCCATTTCTAGTATAAAATTGAATATATTCAGTAAATTAGTTGTATCTGTAATATTACACCTCATGTATAATGACTGTAAGATGATGCAGCTTGTTCTTTTTATGAGAGTGAGGAAATATTTCAGAAAGCCACTATACTTTTGTAGTGACACTTCTTTTTGTTTGTTCCAAACACATGTGTGGTGGGCTGGTAATTTTCAATTTTCAGGTTACATGATAAATTGGGAATGTAAAAGAATGTATTGATTCCATTAACTGTGTTAAGAAAAAAAATGATTTTGCAAGAGGCAGATCTATTACTGTTGAATCAATTTGTGTATTTTCTGAATAAAGAATTGGTGAGAAAGTACTTGACTGACCAGTCAGAATCATTTTTGTTTATACAGATAACGCTTAATTGGCTAAATAGTAAGAGAAATTCAGATATATTTGCATAGTCAGTAAGATCAGCTCAGTTTTCAGTCTGCTTTTATTATTAGGGTCCGATAAGCACAATATCTTTTTAAGTAGTGGTAAATGCTAGGACTGTGCAAGTTTGAAGGAGCAAAGCTACAACTGAAGCTCTCCTCAAAGTCAAGTAGTGAATAACAGGCAGTGCTCCAAAAAGAAGAAAAAGCTGAGATCAAGGTAGCTAATTAACCTTTCAATCTGAAATAACAAAAAAAGAGAGATTCACTTTTCTAAGCATGGGGCGGGTTTTCTGAGGGACCGCCTCTCCTTGATAACATCTGCCCATCCCAACATATCCATCAAAGGGGGAGATGCTGCATGTCCCGTCAGCTAGGGAGCTACATCTGATGGAATCTAGTTGGCAGGCCTTTTCTGCTGTGGCATCTGCTTTGTGGAATATTCTCTCCCCAAAGCAAGGCTAGCCTCATCCCTTTTCACATTCCGGAAGTCCCTCTAAAACTGTTGTGCCATCTGACTTGGGGTCCCTAGGAAACTGGTGAAATAGTAACATGTTATGTATTGTCATTAACATGTCCTCTTCACCCAATATTCTTCTCTTTTTAGCTTTGTGCTTTGTTAGAGTTTAAACGTTTTAACAACAATAATAATTGTTTTATATATATATATTTCTTGTTGAGGGGTCCTTGGTGCTCTCTGAGCTTGGCTGTTTTCTTGCAGACGTTTCATTACCCAAACTAGGTAACATCATCCATGCTAGTGGTGGTGATGATGATGCATAGTTTGGGTAATGAAATGTCTGTGAGAAAACTGCTAAGCTCAGAGAGCACCAAAACCTCCTCATTTCAATCCTGCTTGACAAATATTGTCTGTTATTAATATTTATTGTTTTTAGCTCTGTTGTATGCCAGTCAGAGTCACTTGTTTGTGAGAAGGGCAGCCATATAAATTTACAAATAAACATACTACAACATTTCAAATTGTACTGCAGGGGATCTCTATGTCAGTAGTAAAAACTTGCCCGATTTTCTCCAACATCAGAGAAATTTGGAAGCCCTGTTCTGTCTGATGGCACTCTCAATAACTTTAACTGGTTTGAGAGTTTATAAAAAGATCCCCCAAAAGAGTTGACATCTTTTAAAGAAGTTGTAATAAATATCAAAGGGGAGCTTCTGGGAACAGGAAATGATTCATTGGGGACATGAATGGCTAAGATCTAATAATTAGGTCATTTGAATAACATTGGTAAGCATATAGGTAGTCCTTGACCTACGGCCACATTGGGACCAGGATTTCCAGTGCTGAGCATAGTGGTTGTTAAGTGAGTTGCACCCAATTTTCAGACCTTTTTGACATGGTTGTTAGCGAATCACTGTATTTGTTAGGTACAACCGTACAACCGTTAATTACATGACCATTAAGCACGGCTTTCTCCATTGCCTGCTTGTTGGAAGCTGTCTGAGAATATCACAAATGGCAATCACATGACCTAGGATGTTGTAACCATTGTAAGAATATGCCAATTGCTAAGCGTCAAATTTTGATCATGTGACCAAGGGGATGTCCCAAAGGCGCTTTTTCAGGAGGCAACTGAGATTTCTGGTTTTTCTTTGAAGACCTTGCACTTCTCATTCAAGAAGCTTCTTCAGCTCTCTTCCTGGATAAGAAGCGAAACGTCTTCAAAGAAAAACAAGAAAGCACAGTTGCCTCTTGAAAAAGCACCTTTGGTACAATCATGACCTGGATGATTGAGAATCTCCATAGACATTGACCAAGGGGATGTTGTCATAAGAGTGAAGACAGTCATAACTCACTTTTTTAGTGGCATTGTAACTTTGAGTGGTCATTGAACAATAGTTGTAAATTGAGGACTACCTGTATAGATTAAGCACATCATTTCCAAGATGAGAGCCCACAGATACAATTGTAAGAAATGTTTATAACCATCTTAATTTAAATGATTCACATGCTAAAAATGCAACGAGCAAAGCAATTCCAAAATTAATCTTACCTATCTCTTATCATATGTATTCAACAGGAAGAAAGCTTCCTCCTAGACATATTTTGACTGAATAACTTCTCTTAGTACCCATTCTACCAGTTCTTTTAAATCAGTCTCCCTCCCATCAGTTTGAAGTCAAGGTCTAAGTTTCCAGGAGTTATACATCACTGTCATAATACAATTACAGAGACAGAGAAAGGCAGTTACTTAATTTGTGTGTTTAACATCTCTACCTCGCCTTCAGGTTTGTAAATCTGGATGCAGCTGGCATGTAAAAGGAACGTAAAGGAAATCCTTGGCTTTGCGGCTGAAAGTCATTGCTTTCATTCATACTTCCCACGCCCCCTCCCTTTTCTTTTTCTTTTTTTTAATGAAAACTCACCAGGCACCATCCCTGTCAGCGTTGGAGCAGAGTAGCTGCCCTGTCCAGCAGGGGGGACGTGTGGAGGGTATCCGGGGAGGGTTGTGCTTGCCAAATCACGACCTGAAGAATCAAACCAACAAATCGCCATGTGAGCATTCACAAGATCTAGACATATTTTTACATTTCCCTTAACACTCAAAACACAGGTCATGCATTTGTCAAAAATCAACTGCAAATACCAAAGTGGGATCCCCCCCCCCCTACCAAAGCTTAGCCTTGGCAGGCATAAGAAAGATTTTCCTTTATTTATAAGCACCACAAGTAAGAGACCAGGAGCAAATGCACACAGGGCTACAAACAAATTAGAAGCAAAGCACTTTTGAACCCAACTTGTCCCCCCACCCTTCTTTTTAAATATATAATTTAGTAACAGAAAAAGGGAAGTGAGTAATTTAAAAAATAAAACAGGCCACAATCTGCTCTTTTCAATCCAAATGCAGTGTGGTTAAACAACAATAGAAGTACTGAAAGATGAACTGAATATGGCCTGTAAGTAACAGGATGATTATCCCAATAGCTCCAACAAGACTAATGAATAGATGGTGGATGTACATTGTTTAAGAAACATTACCACTGATCTGTTTAATAGTATTAGATAGTATATATTATGATGTATTGCTTCAGCTTCCCTACAAACAGATACTCTCAATTTGGGCAATGCCAGAACATCTGGAGGGCACCAGTTGCAGAAATCTGGTCTGAGCTGATGCGTTAACTTTTCTGACAGGGCTGTTTGCCTCTCTCTTTAGTATGTTCAACATGACTTGGTGAGAACGCTACACCTTTTGGCTATTTCCACTCAAACTGTCAGTAACAAAAATGTGACAAGCTCATTGTGAATCAGATCCTTACATGAACCATCAAGTAACAACAACAAAACTAATTTTGGGTCAGGACAGATGGCAAAGTCTGTTTTATAATTTTTGACATTTTACATCCCAGCTGCTTACATCAAAGTAAGGTTTTCCTTGATAGTTTCTCTAAGATCCCTGTTTGAATAAGTGATTAATACAAGACATTCTCATTAGGATGAGCTACTAACACTGCAAGAATTTCAGTGTGATTTTCCCCAAATGGTGAAAAAACAGGATTTCAAGAACAGGTAATATATAAAGAGTTATCCAATATTAATGAATTAATATAGAAAAGTGATTCATACTGTGTCTATCGAGAGTTATAAAATATCTGTTTATATTTATTGTTTGTGCTCCACTAATTTGATGATTTGGGGTTGATGAGTGGTATATGCATTACTGGATACTATTTTTTGATTATTATTTTTTATGTATTTATGCACTGCCCAGCTCCCTAGAATATTTCAGCTGATAATAATACATTATTATTATCAGCTGAAATCAATCCACTGTAGGATGAAGGGCATTTTATTAAAGGCGATGGACCATTATTCACCACACTAGTCCATTGAGTATCGGTAGATAGATGTTGTTTTACTTTCTAGTCTAGAGCTGATAGAGAGTGACTGGCCCAAGTCACCCAGCTGTCTTCCATGTCTTTGAAAAGACCAGAATCTATTTCTCCTTGTTCCTAATCCATTCTTTTAACCACTGCACCACAATGGCTCTGACATAATATGTGAAAATAAATAAACATTCATTTCTTTTTTAAAAAAGTATTTTTATTGGAATTTTGGGGAAAGGGGGATAAAAACTAAAGGAAGAAAAAAGAAAAAGAAAGCAAGTGAAGGGAAAGAGTGCAAGAAAAGTGCAAGAAAAGAAAAAAAAACACCTTAAAAATATAAAAGAAAGATAAAAGATATAAGGAATGCTTCTGGTATTCTTCACATCAGTTATAAGTACAATTATATTTTAAACTCTCTCTAAAACATTATATCATAATGTTCTTCTTTCTACAATCTAGCCTGTCTAAATCATCAAATCCATTAATCACAAGTTCATTTTTTTTTTCATTTTTATGCCAAAGGTTCATAGGAGGTTTCTAGTCACCAGAAATGTAGATAGTGTCTTTTGTCTAATCAAAGAAGTTAATTTATCCGTCTCAGAATAAATATTCATTTTTAAGATAACACATATAGACCAGAGAAAAAGATACCAAATTACATCCAATTTACAGAATGATGTCTAAATAGCCATCAGTTATGGTCTTCCTCCACCTGTTTGTGATTGCCTGAATTCTATGCTTCAGTGTTAATAATGTCAACTGTGAATGATTGTAGATCTGGGCTTGGGAAGATGGGGGGGAGAGAGCAATGGACTTTTAAGAGAGCAGAAAATGCAACTCAATCCTGGGAAAGTAGAAAATATGAGAAAGAAACTCAAAATAATCCTAGCTTGATTTGTATAGTAGAGGTAGTCCTCAATGTAAAACTGGTCATTTAGAGATCATTCAAAGTTGGGGTTACTTATGACCTGGATTTGGAGTTCAGATCATTGCCCCACCCCCCATGTTCATGTGACCGAATTTCAAGTGTTTGGCAACTGGGCCATATTTATGGCCACTTGCAGTGTTTCAGGGTAATGTGTTTTATAACCATTTTGCCAAAACCTGGTTTGTTTCCAGTCTGTGGCAAAACTTAGCTTATAATGCACCACTGATACACTCAATGACTATGGCAGCCACTTTACACTTGTTACAAAAAAAAAAAAAAGATTGTAAAATCATGTTGGTCACATGACTAGCCCATCTTATGATAGCCACGATTTACGACTGTGTTGGGCAGGCTCTATTACAGTCATAAATCAAGGATTATTTTATAGGAAATCTTGATAGGCTTTCAAGATTCTGTTATCTAATAAAGAACATTCTTGGATCCCTACAGCGTCCCCTTTTTTCATTCTGAAACCAGAGTTTTTTTTTTCTCCTTCTCAGTGGTTCCCAAACCTTTCTTCCATGCTTACTCAAATTCTACCATTTTCTTCTTTTTTGTGTGTGTTTCAGCCTGGAAGGAGGGAAGAGAACGAGAGGAGGGCTTGCCTTACATGTGAATGAGTATGAGAAAGAGTGGTTTGCATGTATACTTTCTAAATGAGATACCTTATTTTACAAACATTTATTTCTAATCCAAAGTTACCAATTGAATTATTTATTATTTTTCATGTTTTGTGTGTGTGCGCATGTACACATGCATATGTACATACATGCATACATACATACACTTCAGAGATAAAAATCGTACACAAACATATTTTTAGGGAAAGGGAATTTTTAGGGCTGGTTTCAACTGGAGTTGGCAAACTTAAGCGGACAACGCATGGAATTTTGGCCTCCCATAAGAGCTTGATTTGTGTTATTTGTTTGTCTATTTTTCTTTCCATTAAGAGAATATCTTTAGTTCCAGCTCGTCTTCCTTGTCACAAAATATTGTTATGTACATATAGATTTCCATAACTAATTTCTTCTGGATGTAACACACTTTAAAATGTTGAAAAGCTAACAAAAAGGGGTTCAAAATTTCAGTTGAGTTCTTGTTAAACAATGAAATGAAGTTCCAGTGAAGAATTCGAATATTATGAGATAGTTAAAGGTAAAACAACTATCAACTCATATAAAACAGAACTAATGTGAAGGCCAAATTATAAATTTGATTCAGAAGTCTTGAATCCTCTCACTCTCTCACGTAGGCAGAGTATCGCCTGCATAAATATTTAATGCACACAAATATTTGGATCATAAAAGACTGGGAAAATCTCTGATCTTAACTTCTGTTGCTATAGCTATACAACGGGATTACTATTGATGGGGCTGAGATTCAGATATGCCTTCCTGTCTGTATCCCTAATTATGCAAAAGAGTTGCAGACTATGTTTTTATTTTTAAAAAATTGACCCTTGATAGACAATTTCTTGGCTTCTTAGAAATAAAAAAACTTAGGAAATTATTGTGAGTTATATACATGCTGATTGAAGAAAAATAGCCAAGTGCTAAAGACCTTATAAACTATCAGTGTAAAGTATAGCAAGACCTGGACATAATGAAATCAGGAAAAAAAAAGCTGTGGAAGCAAAGAGACTCCATGTGAAATAGAGTTCTAATGAACCGATAAACTGATATTTACTTTGCAATGTTTATGCCACTGCCTTCACTAACACGAGGACTTCCAGTGTATTATAACAATAATGACAATAAATTATTCCATACAGGCATACCTATAGTTTCAGAGGCAATCAGCAAGAGGAGGCTTTAAATCAGCCAACCAATCAACAATGACCTTCTTTCCTGGCATGTGGTGTTAGAAAGTACCTGCCATATTGCTGATGGCTTGACTGAATGTCTTGTTTTGAAGGTCTAAGTAGGTGAAACTAATCCCATAGGATTTTTTCCTTTTTTGTAAAACAAAAACATGGTATAAAATAGTAGCCAAAGGATAATTATAATCGATGTACTGTCTTCTCCTCCCCCAGTAATGGCTATTGGGAAAAGTGAAAATCATATTTTGAAATAATTTGGAAATTTTGCATTAATTGCAAAACAGTCCAAGATTTTTGTTTTATGAAATCTGAAATAAGGTGGAACCATGTGTATTTGAAAGTGAACCACGTGTATTTGAAATTAAACAATGTGTAAAGAGAGCAGGATGTTATACATTTAATGGCTGTGTACAAAAGGAAATTGCAATAGGCATAGCTTGTCATGTGTACAAATATAGATTGTCATACAACACAACAAATTAATTGCCTTTTACATTTCAATTAACAGTGTGAATATCCAGATGCTCAGCAGTGGTATGGCTATCTTGCTGTATCACATGACGTGTCACGATATATCGCAACTTTTTTCACATTGCCGGAGCTGAGGTGGGCGCAGCCTCTGCATGATGCAACCGGCCCACAGGCCAGCAGTTTGACATCCCTGGGATAGACGATAGATAGATAGATAGATAGATAGATAGATAGATAGATAGATAGATAGATAGATAGATAGATAGATAGATAGATAGATAGATAGATAGATGGATGGATGGATGGATGGATGGATGGATGGATGGATGGATGGATGGATGGATGGATGGACAGAGAGACAGAGAGAGAGATACACACATTTATAAATAAACTGGCTTCTTCCACTGCCAATGATCATATAAA